GACGTCCTCCACAACTAGACTGAAGAACAAAAGGACAGCAACTTGTCTGTTCCCCTTCCCCAATTCCCCAATGCCGTTCCCTCCCCCAATTCCCCAATGAAATCTTTAAAATAAAAATAAAAATCAATCTCCCTGCCATATCAACAATGATCTTCACAACTGCATGATTTGGTCTCATTATAATGCAAAATACATATTACTCTTGTTAAAAAAACAAAAATATTTCCTCTTCCTAGAATCTACACCTCTGTACCTCACTCCTCTCCCAAATAGACCCCCTTTGCCAGGTAAACTCCCATTCATTCTTTCAAACATAGTTAAGATGTTCTCTCTAAAATTCTCTGAAATAGTGTCTGATGCGACTTTGTTCCATCCATTGTTATATAACTGTCTTCTAATACTATTTATACTGTACTAAAATCACGTGTTTCTTTCTTTCTCCCCTAATAGAGCATGTGCTTCTTAATGGCAGAAATAGTCATCTTACAGTCTTTTGCATCTTTAGCCCCTGAGTGAATGACTGTCAGTGAAGTATTTTTAAAGTCTGTGTGAAACCAAGATTAAATTCACAAAAGCCAATCAAAAAGTATGTTTCAGTTTTTCCCTGATAAACTTAAAGTTGCTTCTTAAAGATTAAGGTAAAATCAAGTTATTTTCTATTTTCATTTATAGAAAATCAATATAAAATAATATTTTGCTTTAAGAATGTGAAATATTTTATAAAATGAATTAAGGTTTTGAAAATTCATCATAAAATATTTCATCACCACCATTCCATTTGTTGTCCTTGTGAAAATGGACAAGCGCTCAGAAACTACTAATACCTTTAAGCAAGAGAATACTTTGAAATTTTATTTAAACTGGTGTGTTAAAATTCTATAAAAATGCACACATAATTAACATTTCAAAAATGGGAACATATTCCATCTAATAGTTTCTGAGCAACTACATGTAATTAGTGACCAGGGAATATTAAAATAACCAGTACTGTAAGTACATTTATAACGTAGGGACCAAAATAATTTTGATTAAAATATCTAGTAAGTAATAACAGGATATTTAAATGCTACTAAACTGATTAATCATTAAATGCCTTTTTGTTAAAAAGAAGACAAATTATGTGTGTACGTATTGCTTTGTGTTTGACATACTTTATCTTTGGTTCTATATCTCTATCCCATTTTATTAGTCACCCTTTACACTCACATAAGATAAGCTACATCAGTAACATGCAGAAGAGTCAAGTGTAAATCAGAAACTTACTCAATTCCATGATAATGACATACTGAAGCTTTTTCAAATGGTAAAACCCGCAGTTTCCGAGGACTAAGTTCTGGTGTCAGAACAAATGGTTTTTCCCTGAAACAAAATTTTTTTTATTGGTATTTAGTTTATTTAGTGACAGAGAGAAAGTTCCAGAAAGTGTCTAAACAAAGATATGTGACTTCCTTCAGTACAAGTGACACTTACATGGGATAAAAATTATATCAAACCTTAGAAAATGAAGCAGGGGTAGGCCTGCGGATTTTGTCACCTACATTTTCTGCACCTCAAGTTTCCAAAGTTATAATGGTACTTATTTCATAAACGTAACCTGAGAAATGGATACATCAAGAATGGAAAATGATTTGATGTGGAAATTCAAAAAGCAGCATTATTCCAGAAGGATTTTTTTCTTGGTGTAATGAACTAATGATTATACATTTAGTTATCCTCTTTTTTACAGGGGAATAATTAAGTCAACTCGAACCTGTGGTAACAAAAGAAGTATTGAATTCCTACTATAACATATGAAGGACCCAGATCTTTCTTTACCTGGGAATGTAGTCATCTTGACACCTACTTTAAGAGTCAGCAACCATTTAAATATTAGAGTGTATCAGAGGCTAACTTGCTGACTTCAGCTCTTCTTCTGAGGTAGGCTTTCCGTCAGCAGGTAGGCTAAAATCAATCATATGGTGAGCTTACGTGAAACGTTCATGCTCGGCCCCTTCCAAACCCAGACCTGCAGGGGTATATAAAAACCTCAGGAAGGTCATCACTGCAATGAGGTTCAGCTCTCCCAGTTATTCTATTAATAATAGGTGCCCGCCCACCTCCTTTGCCTGTGTCGAAAGGCACTGTTCTAATGGACTGGATCACGTTCCTGAAGCTCAGAACAGGTTAGCTGGGAATGGGAGAATTATGCATCAGGGGTCTTTACACGGTAACAGCATGAAGTAGCAGGGGCTTGAATTCAGAAGACTTAGAAACGGTACATAGAAAGGCAAGCAGATAGAGTACCAAGAATAAATCTGCCATCACGTTTCCCCCTACGGCATTAGGAAAGAAACTGCCCATTGGCCACAGAAAATGACCTAGGGTATTATGGTAAGCATCTGAAATTATTACATTAACATGTAAGACATATGCTAACTAATAAACTTGAAAGAACAGACTTTATATTCTAATGCATTCACTGAAACTGCTCCACAAAAAGTAGCGCTAATAAATTGCAATGACCCCAGTGTCTTGTTGACTGAGCATGACAACGAATAATTTTGTAATATAGAACTCTTTCTTTCGGTCCCTAGCATTTTAGTTACTTCCTTTACCATGCTGTATTCCATTTCTGATTTCAATCCCTCTCAGCAACTTTATCTTTTTTGGTTTAATCTTACTCAGACCTTGTTCTTTCTAAAAGAAACATTGTAACAAATAGGTATTTTGTCAATGTTTAATATTTCTTTGGTATATCACAGGAGTCAGGCCTCTGCTTTAATTTAGTATAGCACTGTGAATTGCTCCTTGCATAGTTAGACGTTTAATAAAGTCCACAGGTTCTTAATTCACTGCCATGAAAGCTCACCCTTCAACTTGAGTGTTAACAGAAGATATGTTTGATAACGACGCAGTCCTTTACTAACATCAAGGAACCATATCAAACTTTCCTAAATCAATCATCTGTAAACTAAAGAAAGAATTAAATATATGTCCCCAACAACACTGCATCTAGAAAGACATCTGGTCAAAAACAGTAAAATGTAACGTACATAATTCAGTTTTAGCAAACCCATCTGATTCATGCTTAGTGATTTAGAAGGACAATAATCCAACATTAAATAGATGAAAATGTGTACACACTTCTTCACTTTTGTGGTTCCCACAAAAGAAGAAAATGACTCCAAAATTACATAATTTTTATGTCATTAAGATCATTAAGTCATTAAGACCGAGAGTCATTAAAATCATCAAGCTTTCAAAGTTGTTCTGTCTCTCCAGTGAACGTGCACATTAAGGCAATCTGCTCTATTATTGTCTTTGAGATAAAACTACCTTCAAATAGATGCTCCCCAACATTTACCTTTAAAATCAATATTTGCCAAAACAACCTTTGTAAAAGTGATCAAAATGATCTATAATTTTTAAGGTCCTTTGGAAGGTTTTCAAAATAATGGATTAACAATTAAGAAGAAGTTGGGGTAGTAAACAAATTATTAAAATCTCACGAGTATTTGATGTCACAGTTTTACCTGTAATTAAGTCAACTTTAGCAACATTCAGTTTTTATCCACTAGAAACTTAGTGGAAGTTGTCTTGGAAGTCAAATTAGTTATAAATTATTCATGTAGACACTGAGTTCTTACTTGGTAACGTTATGGTTTCAAAAGCATTTTTATTACACTTCCCTGTTCTCTTCAGTTGAAAGATTGTGCTTTTTACTACTATTAGGTATGAGTGACAATGTCATGACAAGTACAGAGCAGCAAAATCAAAACACCAGAGTCACAGAAAAGAGAATTAAAATGCATATATATTTGCAAGTCAAATTATATTTTCTTAAAAAGTACTGTCCTTTGTATACAAAGTAGAAGCTACTGACTTTTACAGGGAATGTGCTGAGATTGCTCTTATTATTCTTGCTCCCCTTACATTCAGTGCCACGAAACTGTGGGACATTTGGCCACGGTAAAATGTGAGGATTAAGGCCCATTGACAAGCATGGGAGTCCAACTTGTGAATTCTGCCTACGTGGCACAGGCCATGAATTGACTGGGGAAATGAGATGCAAAGCGCTTTTTTAAATGATTTTTTGAAAAAAATTAATGGGAGGTTATAACTTTCTAACTTACCCCTTTTGAATCTGTAACGGTTGAAGATCTCCAATTGGTAAACCATCGGAGGTAAAGAATTTCAGCAATTCTTTAGCATCTAATAACGTGATTGAATCCCGTGCACCCTCTTTATGGCCCAGCAACTGTTCAGATGAGCAAGATAACGAACCAGTTCTGGGGGAAAAATGTTATATAGATTCAATGAAAGTGGATTAGAATTCACCACAGTCAGGAAAAGATGATACAAGCAGAAACCAGAAAAATATACAAATAAAATTGACAAACCACACATGTAGGAAGAAAATACAGTAAAATCTTTGAAAATCATTTAGTACCAGAGTACATTTTTAAAAACCTGTAGGTCACAGTGAAACTTACAGATGGATATAATCCCATTCTTTATAAATGGCAGCATGATTCATTATTTAGTGCTGTGAGGTTATCAAGTCTATAAAATTTAAATCAAAACCCTCTCGTATGTTCTGGAACCCCACAATATTGTAAATTTTGAGGGTAGAGACTGGATGTTCCAATTTTCTATGAACTTGAAAGATTACTTGAAGCACAACCATGAAATGAGGCAGTTATCAGAAATCTCTCCAAGGTCCCTTCTACCGTGATTACGACATGATGAATAAGCACTGGGTCACTATTATACCTAAACTATTTGCACAACTTTATCCTTTTCAAGCTACATCCTTAATCCTCACATATATCCTTGAAAAAGACAGCACAGGTCTCACCTCAAAATCAAGTTAACACCTGAAAATAAGCACTGTGTAACATGAAAGTCAGCATACCAAGCCTAAAAAACAACCATGAATCCTATTTTTCAGAAAGATACCAACACACAATCGTTTGCCTTACAGACCTAGGGTGACACAGCTATTTAAAATGGCTGAGTCAGAAGTAGACTAGCTCTGAATGAAGTACTATTTCTACTGCATCACTCCATAAACCCACAAAGCTCTTAGAAAATTTCAAAAGCAGCAGGGAGAAAAATACTTTAGATTCAGAGAGTGCTAAAGGTTTTTATCAAGCACCGAGTCACAGATCACGCGGTGGCTCTGTGTCACCAAAGCATAAATAAAATCTTTCGATCCCGGCACAGAAAATTAATTTCCTGACTTTATATTAATTCAAGTATTTTCTGATTATTTTATTACTCAAATCAAGCATTTTTACTAATAATTACACGATTAACATGTTGACACTGTGAGTTACTACTTACATTTCTATACATTAGGGATCAATAATACACTGACAGTAACCCTTTCCCCTTTCCATGCCCGCTATTTTTGAAATTGAAAATATAAATCTAATAAAAATAGTCAAACAAGAAAATAATCAAACATGTTCTATGAACTTTACACTCTAGGAGGGCAAGAACTACATTATGAGTTTAATTTAATTTCTATATAGCTATTCTCTAACAGTAACTCACAAAGGTTTCTTAATGAAAATTACTCTCAATCATTTTACAAGCTGGATGTAATGGGGAAATGTATAATTTGCATTTATATAGAATCCTGGACACAAAGATATCAAAGCAATTTAAAATCCTGTTTGTGATAAATTACACTACCAAAATATGTCTTAGGTTAAGAAAAACAAAACCAAAACACTGACACTTTATTTTGCTCAGTGTTTTCAAGCTTACGAAGTATTTTTTCATACATGATCTCATTAAATTTTCACAACTTTGAAGTAGAACTGAGACTGTCATCCCATCTTAAAGATAAGGCAACAAAGTCTCACAACAGGTGACTGACTTTGCCTAAAACCAAATTCTTATGACTTCTGAATTTCACTACGTTAATGGTCTTTTATTTTCCAGTTCAACCTGTTTTAACACAAAACAAGTTCTTAAAATATGCAATATAACTTTTGTCCACAATCAACAATTTGATGGTATCTTCCCATATTTTGATGACCGATGTGGCCTTGTATGGCCCTGTATGTCTGAATGTATTTCACTCATTTATCCATTAGGTCTCAGCTCAAATGTAACCTCCTCAGAGAGTTGTCCCTGACCATCTGACCTCATCTACATTATCACCATTTCCCTCCCCTCAGTAAGTAAAATTATTACCCCTCAGTCCCTTTGTTTCTTTTATTCATCACAGATAGAGTAATTTATAATTACAGCATTTACTTGTCTGGTTATTTGTTTTCTTTTGACTGTCTCGCCCATGAAAATGCAAAGCTCTAAGAGGAGAGCCTGACCCATAGTTGGTGCTCAATAAATATCTGTTGATATATATGAACAAAATGATACAGCAACTCTTTTTTTCTTTTTTAGCTGAGCCATCCTGCTACCTGTTGGCAGCTCAGCTCTGGCCGGGCATCAAACCGCTGTTGCTCAGAGCTCAAACTCTTGAGCGAGCTCTTAACCAACTGAGCCACTCAGCCGGCCCTCGTACAAGTCTTTCTGTGGAGTTATGTTTTAATTTCTCTTAAGCAAATACTTAGTAATGGGATTGCTGAGATAGGTCTGAGTATGTTTAGTGTTATAAGAACCTGCCAGATCGTTTTCTGAAGTAGATACATCATTTTATATTCCCATCAACAACGTATGAGAGTTCTGACTGTCCCATATACTTGCCTATAATTTATCAGTCTTGTCAATTTTAGCCATTCCAGTGGGAGCACAGAATTTTATTTTAGGATGTACTATGATCATATAGCCTAGCCCCTAAAGTTAGACATTATTTTTAATGTTTCTTATTTTAAATAACACTGAGAACAAATACCCTTGCATAATAACTCGGTGTATATCACTAATTTTTTCATTAGGCTAAATTAATCAATGTGATGTTATAAATGTTTGCAAATTTTTCTATTCTACATTTCTTGCTAAGGTTACTTCTAATATTTATGGTTTTACTTGCTATTTTGAATGAGTTCTTTTTCATTGTGTTTAAAATTGGAACTGGCTGGTTAGAGAAAAACTGTGCTTTCTATATATATCTTATCACTGGCCATTTTACAAATTCTTCTGCTACTTTCAGGCCTCTACTTCTTTTGGTCTTCTTATTAACACATATAACTCTTTTAAACTCTTTAGTTTTCCTTATTTTAACTCATTGGCTAAAACTAGCAGAATAATGATTTTAAAAGAAAAGTGGTGACAGCAGGTATCTGTTCTTGCACCTGACTTTAATGGGAGTTTAATTTTGATGCTTAAAAATAAAGTCACTAAAGATTATGTCCCTGGTGTCAAACTTTACATCAATATTCCTTAAATGAAATGAATATTATTTAAATATAGCCAGGAACCTAAACATTCCTAGGATGGCTTGTTGGGTGGTGACCTTCCGTATTTTCTCAAACTGCATTACCAGCCACCTAACGTGCCTAAGCTAGAAACACTGAAGAAATTTTTATTTGCTTCCTCATCCCCAATATCTACTCTGTTTTCCAAGTTCTTTCCATGGCTCTTATATATATTCTCCTTCCTAGTTTCATTATCTTAATAGTATTTTAGTCTTTCAACATCTCTTGAAATATTTCAATTTATCAAAAGGACAATAAGATTTCTTTCAATGGAACAAAGCCAAGCATATGATTTTGTGCTTTAAAAATAAAGGGTTTTTACTGTCTCAAAAATAAAAATCAGGGCTGGCCAAGTGGCTCGTTGGTAAGAGTTGGTTTGGGATGCCAGCTCTGAGCAGTAGGGCCCCGGTTCGGATCCCACATTAGGGCCAGTGACACTGTGCCCTCTATAGCTAAGATGGTGAACAACAGCTTGACCTAGAGCTGGGCTGCTGTGAATCGACGGTGTAGGCTGCAGTGGGCTGCCATAAGCTACCATCAGTGGCTGGCAGCTGGCATAAGTGGCCAGCAGCTGGAGTGAGCTGTCAAGAGCCGCTGTGAGCGGACGTCCAGTGGCCGGCGACCGATCTGCCTCACCTGAGAAGAGCGCAATGATAATACCAACAGGGGCCAGTGAAGCGACGTCCTCCACAACTAGACTGAAGAACAAAAGGACAGCAACTTGTCTGTTCCCCTTCCCNTATTTAGCATCTTAGCTGTGGAGGGCAGTGTCACTGGCCCTCATATGTGGGATCCAAACCGGGGCCCTCTAGCATCCCAAGCCAGCTCTTAACCATCGCACCACTCGGCCGGCCCTTACCTTATTTTTTGTTTAGCTCTTTCAAACGTTTCCAGATTTTGAAGAACATGCACTTCGGGCCATTCCAGGGAATTGGCTTCCATCAGACTTGAAGAAATAGGTTCCACTGGACTGGTATCTGAAGAGAAAGAAATACACATAAGCACCGAAAAGTATTAACCTACTGAATTCTGCTAGATAAGAATATATTATGCAGATACATGCATCCATCTGTGTCTGTGTGGTGTGTGCCATGAACGCGCGTGTATAAAAGGGGATGCTGGATTCACTGTACAATCCTTCCCTTATGCATTTATTAAGGCTATCTCTGGTGGCCTTAACTGTGAAAAATGCCATAGAAAAGTTTTGGGGACACAGACAAAAAATCACTATTAAGCTTTCTTTATTTTATTATCGCCCCAAAATAAAAGTGCATCATTGCTCAAGACCTATATATACCAAGCCCCTCAGCTCCTAACAAAGAGTTCTGTGACCATTCTATCCTAGTTAGATTCCTTTCCTTGAAATTCGTATTTGCTTATTTAACCAAAAAATACACAGCACTTAAACTTCATACCAGGAAACTTTCTAAGCAATTTACAAATAATTTATTTAATCCTCGTAACAACCCATGTCATCGCTAATTTAAAGATAAAAAAGTAAGGCTCAGAGAGGTTAGAAAACTTGCCCAAGGTCACACAGCACGCAAGCTGCAGAGCTGGGATTCAAACTTCTTAGTGTTGCTCCAGAGCCTATGCTGTGACCAAGAAGCTATTCCCTCTCACTTACTGAACACCCCCCCCCCATTTACAAGTAACCATTGACTGTCTCCAGTATCTTTCAGATTACCCCACACTACTATGTAACTCTGGTACTGAAATGTAACGATGGTAACAATAATACAAATGACAGCTCTAACAATTTTGGGGGCATCTATTGTGTTCTAAGTGTTTCATATGTATCAACTCACTTAATCCTCATAATAAGCCTATTAAGTGGGTAATGTTATTAACCCCATTTTATTTTGTTTTTTTAGCTGAGCCATCCTGCCACCTGTAGGCAGCTCAGCGGCAGCTCAGCTCGGGCCGGGACTCAAACCACTGTTGCTCAGAGCCCAAACTCTTGAGCGAGCTCTTTACCAACTGAGCCACTCAGCCGGACCTTATTACCCCCATTTTAAACATGAGGAAACAGAGGCAGGGAGAGGATAAATAACTTGCCTCCAGGCATTTAGCAAACAAGCCACCAAACTGCGTTTGGAACCCTGGGCTCTAGAGCACGGCATTCGGGGCTGTATTTATATTTTGCTTTCCAAATAGATCATAAACCTGTTGAAAGCAGAGGATCCTAGTTTTTACTTCATTGTGTACCCTCATGGCGTCAGACAAAAGGCATTCAACAAACATTACTGTTAACTTGATTCTTCAATCATTTTCTTATTCATCTATGGCATAAAAATGATTCTCACAGAATTAAAAACAAAAACTATCCTGCACATTTAAAATGCCAGGCATCTTTAACTGCTTTCTTGTTAGATCTTGAGAAGCTTCACTCAATTCAAATTCATCACAATAAAAAGAGCCAGGAAAATAGAAATACAAGTTAATAGAGAAATGATTTCCTGCTCCCGCAGTAAAGTTTGGTAACTTCCTGCCAGAGTGAATGGCAGCTGTTGGAGCATCTTATTATGTGAAGTTTGAACTATATTATATTCACTGGATAGGTTGCACTTTTCTCACCTTATGAATACACAGCTTAATAGAAACCCCTTTTAGCAGCTTAGTAAGAGTAGTAAGAGAGATCGCTTTAAAAGCTTCTCCCTCTGCTCAAAAACAATTATCCTAAACATGTTTTCTGAAAGAGGTAATTAGGAAATTTTTAATGTTCAAATGATGAGAAATACAGGCCATCATATACACAGTGAGTCCTCACTTAACATCCATAGGTTCTGTAGCTTTAAGTGAAACAACTTGAAACCAATTTTACCAAAGACTAATTGATATAAAGAAGAGTTAAGTTCCTACAGCACTTCATCAATGACGAAACAATGTTGAATGAAACGACGTTACTTGAGGACCTGCTCTACTTGGATATGCAAATATCTATCATTATTTCTATTTAAAAGATACATTTTGATTTGATTAATGTATTTTATTAGTTTTAATAATAATAAATGTCACACACACAAAAAAACCCTTACTATTTAAAGCAACAAAAACTTACCATTTAACATACTGGGGGTGTTAATTTTGTCTGTCTTTATTAGAGTTTTAGGACTAATAGCATCGAAACGATCTAAAAAGCGTTCTCTTGTGAGCATCAATAGATGTTTGAGTTCATCAACAGAAAGTACTTCAGGCTGCTTTGCCAACTTTCTCCTTTCTGTAAGACAAAAAATCAATAGGATCAACCATACAACTGTCATTTTAAATCCTCTCTAAAGCACATCTACTACTATTTTATGGAACATATTTTGAAAAGGAAAACAAGTGAATTTATCTGGCGAATCACCATTCCTGTGTAGGCTGGTTTCGTTTTACTCCCATGTGTAGGTAATGGTAGAATTTCCAGTTATGTGAGAGAAACAAAAGAAGAGTCATTTGTTAACACTGAAAGGCGCTAAACAGTGAAGACAAGATTACCAAAGTTTTCAGAAATATATCGCAGAGCTTTATGCTGGTGTTTTTGTGAAAATAAAACCTGCAAGACTTTCAGTTAAACGTGGTAGCTTGGCCACTTTCACCTATTTCTTCTCTTTCCCCAAACCTACAATTGCAGTAAAGGAAGAAGACAACGAAAGGAGAAACGATACAGAACGGCAGTTTTCCACAAACCTTGGCAGATACATGATGACGCGGTGGTAACTGAGTCGGATGGAGCTAAGGAAGGAGAAACTTGGGAGCCTACAGGGGCACGACCTATGGGGTATTAATTAGGAAGATGGAGACGAGGTCCTGGGCTAACACAGGACCGGATTCATGGGTATTTTAGGGAGGGAGTAGTGAGAACCAAAGGTCCCCACCCGCCCCGTCCTCCGGTCTCAGAGTCCGGTGACTTCACGCTCATTGTTTTGGTGGAAACTGAAAGAAGGCATCTCAGACTATGAAATATCAGGTACATTCAAAGGTGATATGATGCTGGGGTTAAAACTAAGGAATTAAATGAGAGTCTACGTATTGAATGGTTGGGATCCTCACCCTGCGGCCAGAAAGCTAGCAGCTACAAATGCCCCACTGGAAAGATTGAGGGGTTCTCCTTTTGAAAAACTGAAAGCCTGCAGAGAAAAGGGGTTGGTACTAATATTGAAGAGGAGGTAGGGATAGGAACTCACAACCAAAATGTTGAGTTGTCACTCCACCACTCTACAATGCAGCTTGTCAGATACTGTATTAGAGTGAGGTGTGTAAGAACTTTCCATTTAAATCAGGACAGACAATAAAAAACCACCAGACAGGAAGGAAAGGTGTTGAGGGGGGAGGGGGACTCTGCATTTCCATGGTCCTATGGCTACACGTGTAAGGACTTTGATTAGGTACCACTTCCAGCTCTCTTCTCCCTCCCATCACTCACTGGGTTAGTCTGGCAAAGAAACTAGGAATGCTCTGATGAGACCCTTGCTTTCCAACTTCATCTGAGCTAGCAAACCTCAGAGTGCCTGGGCTCTGCAACGTGGTAAGGGCCCTGCCCTCTTAGAGTTGATCTGCAGCTGCCCAGCTCTGGCAGTCATTCCGGGGACAAATTCAATTCTAGGTGTGCGTATCAGAAAACCCGCCTGGCCATAGATCTAAAAAGTCATTTCCTTCAATCCAGCTTTTATCTGTAATTTATCTCCACCTGTGTGTGTCTTAAGTTTATTTCTCAATTGGTTCCAACTTTGGGAGGGAAAAAAGGTATTATTTACTGTCCCCCTTCAAACTAAAAAAAAGTCCAGGATGAAAGAGAAAGGCTAAAGCAAGCAAAGAGAAAAATGGAGCCCAGGGCTGGCCGAGTGGCTCAGCTGGTTAAGAGTGAGAGCTCTGAGCAACAGCAGTTCGATTCCCGGCCTGAGCTGAGTTGCCAACAGGTGGCAGGATGGCTCAGCTTAAAAAAAAAAAAAAAAGAAAGAAAAAGAAAAAAGGAGCCCAGCAGAAACAAAACAATCACAGAGGAAAGAAGGAAAGTTTGTTGTAATTAATATTCTCATAGAAATAAGAGAAGATGCTACACCCAAGAAACAAGCACAGGATGCTCTGATAAAGAAACAGTCCATAAACAAGAAAAGACTTTTAAAAATTAGGCACATGAGACCTCAAATTTTTAAAATTCCATAAAAGGGCTTAAAATGGAAGATATCCCCCAGAAACTAGAGCAAAAAGAAAACAATATGTGAATGAAAACGAAAAGTAAGAATTCTGTCCAGGAAAGCCAATATATAACTAGTAAGAGGTCTAGAAAGAAAGAGAAGAGATAATGGGAGGAAAGAAATTATTAAAGAGATCAGAAAATTTTTCAGACTTAAGAGTGTGACTCTTCCGTTGAAATGGCTCATCAAGTACACAGCTTGAGAGGGAGGGACGGCAGCGGAGCATACACACACTACGGTTCACAGTAAAACTTTCAGACACAAAGCTCCTGGCAAGAAAGGTTCCAGAAGGGGGTGAAAGCAAATCAACCAAAACAGATCACTGCAAAGGATAAAAACAGTATTGGATTTCTCAACAGGAACACAGCAACGCAGAAGACAATAGAGCGATGCCTTCAAAATATTGAGGATAAAAGATTTCCAGCTTGGAATTCTATATGAATTATCCATCAAGTAAAGATATTTTCAGACATGCAAGAGCTGAAAATTTTACGCCCCATGAACTTCTACTCAAGAAGCTGCTGGAAGATATGCTCCAACTAAACATGGGAGTAAGCCAAGAAAACGGAGGAGGATGGGTCTAGGAAAAAGGAAGATTCCAAAAGGAGAAGAGAGAGAAGACTCAGCAGGTCTAAGAAGCAACTCGTCCACAACAGGGCAAAATATAAACACTCTGGAAAAAAAAAATTAAGAGAAAACGGAACTGCTGTGTTTGAAAATACGGTGAATTTAATTGATGGGTGCGTGGCAGAAATGTCGGTGCCTCTGGAAAACATAATATTTTGACTGTAAGGAAGAATGGGAAATTAAAAATAAGGTGATCATCAACCATAAGAAAGACAAAGATGATACAAGAAAGGAGAGTTGGTCATCGTCACAGAATACATGACTTAGCAGTAAACCTATGTATATACGTAGTCATACTAATGCTGAAACCACCGATTTAACCAAAATTCATGACGTCACTGGAAAGGGTGGAAAGGGGAAGTGAAGATGATGTGGGCAAGTTGTCTTTATCTTCCAAAGTTAGATGTTAAAATAATATGTGAAACTGGTAAATCAAGAAACAGCAGCACGCACATATTATTTAGAAAACTAGAGGAAATGTCAGAAAAACTCTCTGCCGGGGGGTAGAGACTGACAGATGGGGAGGAGAGGGTAGGGCGCTGCAGCTTTCCATTTTAAGTTTCCCAGCTCCACTTGAATTTTTAAACTATACCCATGCATTACTTTTATAAAAGTATTTCAGTTTTGAAATGCTTATGGACTAATCACAGTTTCTTTTATAAGAAAATAGTAAAGTATAAATTCAGAGAGAATTCAATTCAGCAAACATTTGAGTATGTACCGCCTGGAAAGCACTGTGCTGCGCCCTCTGACACTGGAGATTGGAGCCCATGATGTCACACTGCGTAAGGGGAAGAGTGGAGCACATGACTTCACATTACATGGGGTCAGTACATAAACAACAGGAGGGAATAGGCTGAAAAGGAAGTGGCCAGTCTTGAGGTTCTACTTGAGACCATCAGCTTTATGAGAAATGCCTCCGTAACATCCCACCTCACCAACGTGGACATTGGAAGGGTCGTTCCGGTTCTGATCCAGATGAATAACACACGGCTTCTGAAGTCAACACCACCAGTCATGGGAAAGTAAAAGTTGTAATATATGCTGCTTTTATTACACCTTCTTAGTGAGAAAATAAGAAGCAGTCAAGCTTTTTATTTTCTGCACAATCTGCTGGAAGCCACTCGAAAACAAAGTTATCGATGATTTGCTTTCATCTGAATGATGTACAATAAGTAATATGCTTCAGGAATTAGCCCTATAACAGTATTAATTCTAAAAATATACTTAAAATCATGCATCTGACGTATGCTTATGAAAACGTGTCAATTATATTACCTACTGGACAATCTGAAGAGCAGGGTAAGCCTTTCTGCTGGCCTTGATGACTGAGCAGTAGAGAGAGAAAACAGATGAAGTTTAACAGAGTGATGAGCAGGATAACTTCCCTAGGTGACAAATAATCTCTACACAAACGAGTGTGCACACAAGTGGCAGATAAAGATTTGGGAGAAATATACTGGACTAAAGTCTAAAAATAAATTAGCTAAAGAATACTATTTCTTCAAAAGCTAGTAATAACTAAGGATTTATTAAAGAAAAATATAGAGCAGCATATCTAAAGGATCAGCAGATGAAGCAATAGGGTTTGCACTGGTTCTATAAATGGTCACACGATGTAGAAAGCTCGGAATAGTGACCCAACACTGCAGCAGAATGACGGCACTGCTGCTTTGGTATTTGTTTTGCATCACACTGAATAGCCTTTTACTTAAAACTTGTTCAGCATCCTTAAACTTCTTCTTTCAAAATCAGTGAAACAATACAGTTAACATTTTCCAATACAAGTTACAAATGACCAAAAAAAGGTGTAAAATATAAATTATAAAATTTTAAATTTTAAATATCACTCTAAACAAGAGGATGAGATATAATTAAAAAAAATAAAATAAAATGAGTGACAATAAATTAGTCTAAAAACTTAAACCCTAACAGGAATTTTATTTGATTTTTGTGTTATTTTAAAAAACAAAATGCCTCCATAACGTGAGTACATTTCCATGCCATCTTTTGCAGTTGCTCTGTTTGGTTCAGTACTAGTCAGAGGAAGAGTAGGGGAAGATAAGAATAAGTTCACTCGGAGAGATTGGAGATGAGGCCAGTTGGGAGCCCATGGGACCACTCCAGGCAGGAGATGAGGGGGCTTGATCCAAGGCAGTGAGAGAAGAGGTGGACAGGAGGGGTCAGGTAAACAGAAACAGTACATCTGACTTGGTGGCTGGCTGTGGGGGTAGATTAGTCAAACCTAATTCTGGGGTGGATTAACTGGGTCATCCATATCCAGGGACAATGTGACCAGGAAACTGAAGGATAAGCAGTTCTGGGAATGAACTGAGCAAGAGATATTGGGCTCTGGACGAATCTAAACTCACCCAGGTGATGGCTAATGGGAACTAAAACTTAGGCAGCTGTACTGGTCCTTTCTTTGCAGCCTCTGATCATGTATTAAAGACCTCAGACCTTGGATGCAGATGGCATGGGCCCTAACCTGGTTTGTCACTCACTAATGATGTGACCTGGGATAAATTTTCATCTGAGTTTCTTTTTTGAAAATGGAAATAGGGCTGGAATTTACCTTAACATGATGAGGAGGAGGACTAAATAAGACAACCTATGCAATATGCTTAGCACAGGAGGGGGAAAAAAAAAAAAAAGAATAAGTTCACTCCATGTCTTGATAATTCTGAAAAACCCTTTGGAATAACTTTCTGTTTTTCAGCAAAGACTACAATCTTTGTACTGATATGGAATCAGTGTTCTTTTGCTTTTTGTTTTTCCCAAAGAAAGCTGTTCCTATTACATTACTGAGTTTTCATCCTGTACAAATTAATTAAAAATATCAATTTAAGTACTTTTATATTCATATTTCATGTCTTTGAGAATCACTGGACTAGACACTCAGATATTCTTACACTGGCAACTTTGTTTTGCCGTCATTTTCTTCTGTCTTTTGAGACCCAGGAATCCTGAACAGATGCATCTTTGTCCCCAAATTTTTAATCCAGTATTAACTCTCTGGGTAGAGAAGAAATTGATTCAGCAAGCAATTCCATCATAAATGGATTAACTGGGTCATCAGTCTTAGTCAAGGTTTAATGCTTCAGATTGCAAATGAGCCATTTCATGGATCTGCCCAGAGCTGGCGTCTCCGGCAGCTGCGCGCTCCCAGGCTTCCGTCAGCTTCAGCCCCCTCCCTGCCCTTCCTTTTCCGGGCACTGTGCCATCCCTGCAGCTGCTGCCTGTGTCACAGCGCTGGTGCGTCTACATTTTTAGCATCTACTCAGTACCACTGTTTCCCCCTGCCCACAGCAGAGCTTCCAGTCACGTCTGCAGGCAGCTATGTAGTTTTAGCTGCTAGTATTTCCCTCCCCAGCCATGCAGCAGGGATGGCCCTACTGGGGTTAACTCTTCTCACCCAAAGGAGAGATGTACCAGCTTCAGAGAGCTGCCTGTGCTTCCACTCTGACAGTGTTTCTGGTTGGAAGGGTAAGGAAGAGAGGTGGCGATGAAAGATAGGGGAGCTGTTGAAGGAACCACGTTATGAAGAGCGGCGGGAGGCTTACGGCAAGAGTCGGGGCCTGCAGAGGCGTTCAGCAGGGACAGACGAGGCCAACAAGTGAAGAATACTGCTGGCTGATGTTTGACGTGAAAGGGTTTTATCCACAGGAATACTAGTATTACAGTATTTCTTTCTTTCTTGGATTTAACATGTACTACTTTTTATTGAAATGGATTTGCCTTTCTAATTATATTTTCCTTGTGCTAATATTATTTTCATAATTTAAAAAAAAAAAGATCAATGGTTGGAGGAGTTCAAGACGACACAATTACCCTGTGTATGCACAATGGAAAAAGTAGGCGATTCTTACATGGATAACTGAGACCAAGCGTTCTAAAATTATTTTCCGTTGAATAAAACATATTACTAAATTCAAGCCATTTTTAAAATTCTTTCGAAGAATGATAGTTTGTATTTTATAATATATCTACTTAATCCTAATGCTGTTTTTCCTCTATGCAATAATGAAGCCTCACAATTTAATTTCTTAGAAGTTTATATCAATTTGCTTAAAATAAGTTCACATTAGATATTAATGATTATTTATTTATAAATATTAAAACTGATAACCAAGAAATACAGAAAAAAACAAATTATGACTTTTGAAAAGGTGTTAATTTCTGGAATAAGGAAAATCCCTAATGCCAACTTCACCCAGTACATGAAACGTGCTTACTTATTATTGGTACTCATGATTCAAGCCTAAAAACCAGTGCTCAAGCTAACATATTAATTAATCTGAAAATGCATTTTCTTCTAGTTGTAGTCTCTGTCCTCCTATGACAGCTAAAAATATATAAAGAGATTTAAAGAGACCTGTTACATATTAACCAGAATAAATTGTAGGTATCTTTTCCAGCATACAGTTAAGAATGATGAAATACAAAAGTTTCCTGGAGAAATATTTTTGCAAATGTTAACAGTGATATACAAATAAATAGGAATATTTTGAATCTGGTGGAAAACAAGTTGCAGTCTTTGTCTACTGTAAATCATCTCTACAAGAGCAAGAATAGTTCTACTAATGAGTGTCACAGCAAAAAGACAAAGTGTATAAGAAAAGTGTGGCAATAATAATGTGTTATGTCTGAACAAGTCAACATCCTTACAATAGAATATAGTGTACAAATTGTTACTTACTCAGATATTCTTTCAAAGCCAAAGCTTGAACATTAGCTAACTGCTTCTCTCTCTGTATAAGCTGCTCCCCAGAAAATTGTGGAAGTGACATGAAGTCAAAAGGGAAACCTGAGAAACAGAAAAAAGTCAGTATTAAAGCTGTTCTATGACAACAATTAATATTCAGTTCCCAGGAAATGTGTTATTACCTAATTTAAAAAAATAAGTCAAATACTCATCTCTCTTGATCTTGCATATGCATATTTCAAAGTAAATAATAATTAAGCTGCAGAAAACATGCATACTAAATGATTGTGCATTTTAAACTTTCACCTGCTTCTTAAATTGAAGGATTTAGGTGGTGAACTGAATTCCCTCTATCACATTTTCTTCTACAGGCTCAACTATTGAAATTCCTACAGAAAACACAGATGGAGTATGAAAGCTCGCCTCTGAAGACGGCCCCCCAATGAACCACACCCCCTGCTATTCATCTGTTGTGTAGTCCCTCCACAACGAATCCAAGTTGGCCCTATGAAACCAATAAAGTATGGTAAAAGTGACAGTGAATGACCTCTAGGCAAGGTCATAGAAAGCCTTGAGACAATAATCTTGTATAGATTTGGGAGGGTATCCGCTGGACACTTGTCTTATTAGGGAGACCACTTCATGGATGGTGTAGATGCCTGCCCACTGCAGTGTACACCTGAAGCTGAATAATAATGAATGTCAACTATAATTTTATATACATATATATATATATGGTCACAGGATGTGGAGTACAGTATAAGGAAAAGTCAGTGGAATTGTAACAGCTATATTTGATGTCAGAGGGGTAGTAGATTGGGGGAGGGAGGTTATCACTTTGTGAGGGGTATAAATGTCTAACTATTACATTGTTTTGTACACCTGAAACTAATAAAAAAAAACTAGTCTATATTTTGACAGATACATAAAAATGTATATAATTATGTACACACATATATTTTTAACTGAGGCAAATCTTCTCAGTTATTTTTAATGTAATGCAGTGAAATTTCCAAAGCTATTTTACAATAAAAGTGTATGCTTGTAGATAGCATTTTATATTTTGAAAAAAAGAAAAAAAAAGTTCACTCTCATCTGTTCCAGCCATCTTAACCCAGGTGCCAAACAAGTGGGTAAAGGAACCATCTATACACCAAGCCCTCTTAATTTTTCAAATGACTCAAGCACCAGCTACGTAAGACTTCAAAA